GAAGGGACAATTTAATTAAAACAGAAATATTTCCTTTTCTGACCCATTTTCTCATTCTGAGATTCCTCTGGGATGAGCTACACAACAGTGATTTTGTGCTGGATCCCTACATCCAGAGGGTACCATGAACAATCCTGAGGTCTGTGAAAGATGACCAAGAAAAGTGATCACAATATCCATTTTTACACCCAGAACAGGAAATCCATAACGTGTTGAAAAATACCAGCCAATATACTCCTGGAGTTTTCTAATAATACCAATTTCAATTACACCAACAAACTTGAATAGCAATTCTTAATGCTTTGTGGGCTTCACCCACCAACATATTTCACAGATTTAAGCATTTGAACATATTTTAACAATCTTGATTTCCATAACCACTCTTCCAAAGTGAAAGAGGCTAAAGTTGATTTTGCTAATAGAAATGCAAACACACAAAAAGCACTAGAGGAGACTAGTATTCTCTAGTTCATAAGAGCTTTAATGTTTATTATTTAAACAATACACACTACGTTTATGTCAACAACTTCTGACTGTCTATTGAGTATTAAACCAAGAAAAAACTGGTTTGCAACCTCTGATGCTGTAATTCCAGGCTGGAAAGACCTCAGGTATAATATTCAGCCAGACAGCCAAGGACACCAACAGTTGCAAAAAACATCCATTTCAATTGTAAATGTTACTTTCAAACAAATAGCATTTCACTCCTGGCAAACTACTTTCTACTATCTGTTATTTGCTATGTTCACTGAAGTAGACAGGAATTTTCTAAAAAACATAATTTCCAGGAAACAATCTGGCTAAAGTACTGTCTTTTCTTCCTAACCTTATTTAAGAGAACAAAGCTGGCATGCTCACACTGCATCTGTGGAAGATTTATGCTTGTGTATCTATCAGTTTTCCCATTACTGGCTTTTTCATCAGCTAATTTCAACGACACTTAACAGCGAGATGAGAATCACAAATATTTCAATATTGGGTAACTATATCGTGCCCTCTTTTGACTTTTAAATTAGAAATGAGGAAATACCAATCAAAAGCTCAAGATTATGCCACAATGACACAAACCAGCTGCTTACACAGATTCTCAGTGATATAGGAATTGAGAAAGGAGAAGCCTTCACACTGACCCACAAAAGCCTCTACCATGAATGGCCTCGTTGACGGAAAGGTCATTGAAATCAGATTGTTACTTACTTGAGCAAGCTTTGGGTCAGCTCTGCAGTCCCTAGAGTTACTTTTTGTCCTACCCATCTGAAAACCAGAAGTGGTATTACAGGGATAAGTGTGATTAAAAAGCATATTTAACATTTATCAGTTAGATTATCTGGCAATACTCATTATCAATATACTGACAGTAACAGTACGAAACATGGCACTGAGAAGTTCTGTGTATATATAGACCGCCTGACCAAGAGATGAGGGCATCAGCTCCTCTATACATGAAGAGCTTTTTATATCTGCTCTGTCACAGACTGAAGTAACCAGTTGGCAACATCAGTCATCATGCACAGCAACTATATAAACAGATGGAGACAGAAGGTCTTTAAAGCTAATAAACATAAGCACAACCACTTTTCATTACAATTAAAAATATTTACTCATGAAGTAGTTATCAGAATTTATTCAATATTTTGATTTCTGCAGCAAAATTGTAAACAAGTTAAAAGCTCAGAAAACTGCTCTGAACCACTTACTAAGGGTTTTCCCAAGTACCTTTCACTTACAAATTAAGAATCTTTGTGAAATTCACATCCTAAGTAATGGACTAATGGATCTATTACCAGAATTTTGAAATAAGAACGATATCTTGTTGAAGAAATCTTATGTTTGATTAAATAACAAATTTAAATATTATTTTACTCAGCTATAGATTATTTTTGTAGCAATGCCTCAAGTGAAAAAACAAGACTCACTTTAGCTTAATCCCTACTAGGCTAAACCTAGAACTTCCTACTTTACTTGCACAATTATGAATTTCACTCATATTACTTTTACAGTGCTATAGACAAGCAAAAACATTACTATATACAGATGAAGAAAACGATATCAGCTTATTACTTAAACTTAGCAGTCAGGAAAATCTTCAATTTAATGCAAAGTAATACATAAAAGCTTCAAATAATCAGACCACAGGTACCTAAGCATCTCATTAATAAGACAAAGTATTGAAAGGTTTAAAGCTTTTATCTCAACAGGAAATAATCTGAATACCTTTTCCTCAATTTTGCAACATTGCAGAAAACACATCTCAAACTTGTAGCACGTGCAAATTAACTTCTGCAGCCTGCAGAAGTCTTTATGAAGGCAAAAGGAATAAATGAAGAAAACCTACAAGTGTGCTCTCCAGATCTGCTATAGCTCAACACAGCTGAAATTATTTATAGAGAAAAGGCTCTAAACCAATAGATCTCAGTACTGGTATATTATGCGATCAGTAAAAAGGCTTTTAATAAGCTTTAGTCTCTGATTGGTTGTAAACAGATGACTGAAATGAAGATTTCTAGTCAAGTGTTCATTTGGTAAAAGTGCTCATATAGCCAGTCACAAATTAAGGGAATGTTCTGTCATTACCTAATTCATGTCCTGCCTGTAACAACATCTCACAGGGACAGCCCCAGGAGGATTCCTGAAATGCAGCTTCTCTGCTTCTCATCTGCTCTGGTCAGCTGGTGAGAAGACTGGGATGTAAGCTGGGAATAGCTACCGTAGTTTCTGAGGGAATTCAGCACCAGCCCAAATAGCTGGTACTTCAAATAATATAATGGATTAAAGCAGGAAGTATTTGATTCTTGTCTTAGATACCTTTTCTCAATAGAATTTTTAAACCTGACGCATAAAAAATTAGTCCACGTGCTATGAAATTGCTAATATACACCTTAAAACAGCCGATTGCTTTAGGAAGGCATAATACAGCATTTATTGTCCTGACCTATAATAAAAATAATCCGTTAAAATTTATATATAAGATATTTTAGAAGCAGCTTAGAAGAAATTAAATCAAGTTGTTTGTCTCCCTCAGTTATGTTTCACAGATTTTAAATAGAAACTAATATCCTTCATGTACACATAATTGAAAATGACCCTGCTGCAAAGTCCATGAATCATACAGACAGCTCCTACCACACAGGTATTGAGTTTTCTCTACTTATCTCTCTTCAGATGCAGTCCCAAGACCAAAACTTCGCATGAAATTAATGAAGTTAGTGAAACTTCTGGTTGTGAAGACAAAAAGATATCTTTTAATCTTTTGACTTTTTTTTACTGATGCTACTCAAATGTGAATCTTCTGATGGCACCCCACATGCTATATGAGAGTAAAGAATGAAGAAGATAAAGTTCTTCTTTTATTATTGCAATTATCTCTTTGATGCCTGCTAGAACTCGTTTGAAGCATGCCATTTATAATTTCCTCTGGCAAACTGATTTTGATTCAACTGCTCACTGCTTAGTACGTAAGAATACTGGAATGGGGGACACAGATAGGGTCATAACTCTTGCCTCCAGAAAGGATTTGAATTAAACAGAAATACGGTACAGACCTGCTGGGTTTGATAAACTGCCTGTAAACTGTACATATTATTTCAGTCATAAAAATGTGCAAAATATAACTCCCTAGTTATCTTATCTCCTACAATATTTAAAGACTAAGAAATCTAACATGCTGATTTAGTTATTCTCAGCATCAACCCACAAGGTTGTTAAATATTTTGCCAAAATCCAGTCTTGTTTAGAAAGGAGAGCAGGTGTGGTACTGCCATTGCTTCAAAAACAACCGTGCAACAGAGCCCCTGGAGAGATCCACGTGGTTCTCACATTGTCATGTCCCATGCCCAGTCTCAAATGCATCCACAAACATGTGCTACAAACAGCCTGACACTGCAAGCAGCTGATAATTGAGTGTGCTCGTAAATCAGAGAGAACACAGCTGAAAGCAGGATAGGAGTAAAGCATATTAACCTTAAAATGTAAGGCTACATGCTTGAGCAAACTGGCTTATCGCATTCTTCATTTAACCTCTGTGTTTGAGCAACGATATTCCGACCTACAGAACAAGGTGGAAATAATTACCTGATAATTGCCACAATACCACTCACCACCTTCTTCCCTATGCATTTACAAAATTTAAGAACTTGTACAGAAACTGAGCTCTAGCTAACGAGAACATGCAGATGACTGAAATCAAGTAGTACCTCAAAGCTGATACAACCACTGAGAACACTGCAGTTCTGTGAATTGAAAATTAACACCAAAATAGGTTTTCGTAAACCTCCTATACTATGTACAGAAAGCCAAATCAGTAAGCTTGTTTCTGAAGCCCTGTGTGAACATCCAAAGAACAAAATGGCCTAAGAACCAGCTCCTTTCTTGCTTTTCCCCCCACCCCCATTTCACTATCAAGGATCTTTGCTCTCTAGACTACAGTTATAAACCATCCTCATTACAGATAAAAACCAGCCTTATTAGTGGTCCTTAAGAGAATTTCTTCAGATTCCTAGGACAGAGAGCAACATCAAATCAAGGTAACAATTGAGCACCAGTTGCCTGAAGAGTTTATGTGAGTTAAAGAATCTGTGACTAATCTTCCTGCTGACAAATACACAAAAAGTTAAAATTGCTTTCCCACAAGCCTTGTAGCACAGCCCATGGTGGTTAGAGATTCCCACAGCGATAAAGTAACTTCCTGGTTATTCCTGGCTTAGGGGCATTGGCCTCCCACAAACCAAAAAAGAAAAAAAAAACCATTGTATTTTCCAATTAGCAGCCCAAACCGACAGAAAATGAACAAGCCACTTAATTCTTCTAAAATGAACCCAGTTTAACAGTACAGCACACTCCCTCTGATGCTCTGAAAACAAATCTTACACAGTTAAAACTAGTATTTTTAAGGGATGTTTCCTGAGCTACATTTAAAAAAATGTATTTGAACGGACCAGGACCCAGGAAAATGCAAAACAGTCGAGCAGACAAAGTAGATAAATCTCAAGGTCTCTCCCAACCTCAGTGATTGAACAGTTCTATGAAAGCAGCCGTGTTAACGAAGCCTGTGTCCCCTCTCGGCAGGGCAGCGCTTAAACACACGTGGAAAAGCTGGGTTCTCCCCAAAGGCTCTTTTCCCCTGAGTGCCGAGCACTGGATATGAGCACGCCCCCACTTGCGCTGTACGTGGGCCAAGAGAGGCCTCGGTTTGCACGCGGCTGAAGGGCGGCACGTGAAGGTTACTTGCCCCGGGCTCCTCACGGGCCGCAGCGAACCCAGCGGGCACAGGGCCCTGGCCCGGGCACTCCCGGCGGGGCGGGCGGCGGGCCCGGCCTCCCGGACGGGAACGGGAAAGGGAAGGGGCGGTGCAGCGGGCGCGCACTGCGCAGGCGCGGCCCGGCCCCGCCCGCCGCGCCCCCTCCCCTCCGCGAATCCCGCCGGGGGCGGTGCGGGGCGCGGGGCGCAGGCGCGCTCGGGAGGCGCGGAGCGCTCCCGCCCCCCGGCCCCCGCCCCCCGCGCCCCGCGGGCGCGCCGCCCTCCCCGCAGCCCGCGTTTAAAGGCGGCGGCGGCGGCTCCCGGCCCCTCCTGTGACAGCGGCAGCGCCGCTCCGATTCTCGCTCCTGGCGGTCGCCGCCATGTACCGCTACTTGGGGGAGCTGCTAGCGTCCCGCCTGGCCGCCGGCTCGGTGCTGGCGGGCGCGGAGCCGGGCGGGCCGGCGGCGGCCGGTGGGGCGGTGGTGGCGGCGGCATGGGGCGGGGGCCGGTGTCCGCGGCGGCACTACTGCGAGGCGGCAAAAAAGGAGGATGACCCCAACTTCTTCAAGATGGTGGAGGGGTTCTTCGATCGCGGCGCCAGCATCGTGGAGGACAAGCTGGTAGAGGGGCTGCGCACCCGCGAGAGCATGGAGGACCGGCGCCACCGCGTCCGCGGCATCCTCCGCATTATCAAGCCCTGCAACCATGTGCTCAGCGTCACCTTTCCCATCAAGCGCGACAACGGCGAGTGGGAGGTGATCGAGGGCTACCGGGCGCAGCACAGCCAGCACCGCACGCCCTGCAAGGGAGGTGAGAGCCGCCGCCGCCTCCTCGGGCCCGCGGAGGGCCGGGCCGCCGTGCCCGCGGCCGCCCCGCCCCGCCGTGCCCCCGGCCAACCCCCCTGTCGCGGCCAGCGAGGGCAGCGGCTGCTTCCCTGTGCCGCCCCTGCTATCCGATACCCGGGGTAAGGCAGGCGCAGGGCGGTTCCTCCGCAGCCATTCAGCGCTCCGCTGTCCTGGCCCCGCGGGTGACCCCCGGGCCAGCCCCGGTGCCGGCTGTCACGGTACTGGCGTCGGGCCTTCGCCGCACCCACCGGTCTGGCCCTGGGCATGGCGAGGAGAACCCCCGCCTAATTTTAACTCAGACCTCGATGGTGTTTGTAGGGAGACGTAGGAGCACCATGCTGGAAGTGTCTGCTCGAGTCGAGAGCTGGAGGAGCCGCTGTCCCTTTATGCCCAGTTTGCTGTGTCCGCGAAAACCTAGTGCTCGCACAGAAAACATCCGTAGAAAAAAATAACACGTTTTAATAACAAGTTAACTGTGTTTCCAGTTCCCGACTGGATACATAGTTAGAAAAAAGTGATTTTTCTGGAGGTAGCTACCTCAACTTAGGTGAGACCAATTACATGCCGAGGGACCGAGTGGGTGAATCCCGCTGGAGCTGAGCACAGCTGGGCTCTCGTGGGATCGGCCGTGATCCCAGAGGAATCAGACTCCCTTTTAGTCTGGGATACATGGCATTTCCTTGAAAAACAAATAGAGATGTCCTTCAGCATACCTTACTCAAGAGCTCTGATCTTTGTGGACATTTGAGTATTGGAAACCATTTCAGGTCTGTGACTCAAACGAGAGCTTCTGTAGTCTGTAAACACTTTTTTTTTTTTCAATGTACACCAGCTTTATGGTAAATAATGACAGTTACAGAAAGGAAGTGATTTCTTGTAAATGAAGTCCTCTAGCTTCAAGACTAGATATGTGAGGGTGTTCTTAGGTAAATGTGTTTGTGAGAATCAGTTCAGCTGGTGTATATATATGACATGAGGGTTTCTCTCTGCAGCACAGTGTGTCCTGTTAATGTGATTCCTAACATTCCAAAATCAAATATCTGCTGAGTGCCCTGTGACATGCTAAATTCTTACCAAAAGAGGCTAACTCAGCTCTTGGTTGTTTACTTGAAGCAAGAATTAGCATCAGACTTAGTTGTAGCTGAAGTTGGGCGTGGCTGAAGTTTACTCTGTGAAGTTTACTCTGTTCTATGCCATTGCTATAATTTCTTTTAAAATACTGATGGATATCACACTGCTGTTGTGTCACTGCTTCAGTTAAGTTACTCTTTGCTGCTGCTTGCAAAAAGTCCTTTGCTGTAAAGCCTGTGTTATTCTTTAAGATCCTGCTTGCATAACAAAATGCAGTCCAGTAGCAAATGAAGTAATAAAATATTAATATACGATAGCTTCTGATATTTCACATTAGTATTGCTCATCAGTGAAGGAGTCAATGTTTACACAACAAATAACTATAAAATGCACTGGACGTGATCAAATCCCACCAGCTGGGTGTTTGGACACTCTGTTATGATACCTACATTTCTAAATTCTCACCAGAATTTCTTGATTTTTTTGGTGGCATTTGTTATGTCTGCCTGCACTCACACTGAAGCAAACACTGGAGCAATTACAGGCATTTGAAAATGACAGCTAAAGAAAATAGGAAGTCTCAGTAGTTTGTCCTTTTCTTGTGCTGCTCCCCACCCCCTCTGAATTCAGGGAAGGAATTGCAGATGATATTTCCTTTCCATTCTTAAGCACAGAGATCATTAATGGATTTCACCTTCTACTGCTCTCTAGGAATTTGCTCACTATCAGGTGACAGATCTGAATTTTATAGTAAGTTTAAATGGGATGCATGATAAGCATAGATCAATTGCTTGAAACCTGCTATGAAAAAGGTGTTAAGAAGTAGAACATTTCTGCTTTATTGGCAAAGGAGTGGTAAAAGATATTTTTCCGTTCATAGTACATTTCATCCACCTGAAATGCACCAACAACTTGAGCTTCTGTCCAAAAGGGATTTTTAAACTAAAATTCTAGTTCAGTGAGTCCATAGGGATAAAAGCACAAAGTCCAATGAAATACAACTCCAAACTCCATGTAACAGTATGAAGTAGGGAAACTTGCTGAAGTGAATGTCCCACACACTGTGGACCCCAGAGTCCAATGCGAGTAATTCACTCCATCAAGAAACAGCAAGGGACATAAGGGTCCCTTTGAAAAGAAGGGGCGAGTTGACAAGGCTTGCAGGGACATTAGGAGAAACACGGTTTCCACATCTTTTCACATGCAGAATTGTAGCCTTTAACTTAGTGCTTCCTGAAAAGTAAAATTTGGTAAAACAAGGTTACTCCTTCTCCTTTCTTTTTGGAGTGTGTGTTTGTGTATTTGGTACTAAGAAAGAAATTGAGTTTAGTTACTGCTGGGTGATTGCTAGCAAGTGGGGATGCTTTGTCATGTCTGTTGTTCTTTCAAGGAGCATTGTGGTTTAAAAGCTCATCTCTTACATTTCCTGAGGTTTACTAAACTGAAGGATAAGAGATGCTGGTTAGGGAATATTAAATACTATTCTGTATGCAGATTAGACAAATGATCAAAGTACACTTTAAGATTCAAGTAGGAAATGGAGGAGTACAGAAGCTTTTAGGTCTTTTAAAGACTGTCCTCCTTTAATTGTTCCTATTTTTTTTCATTACATTCATACCAAAATACTTTATTAGCAGTTGTATGCTACTTCTGTATGTATGCCTTTCTGTTTATAAGGGCATTTACAGATTTGACCATGAACTAATGAAGAATTTATATTGTAAATCAAACTTTAACATCTTGATTTAAATGCCTTAAAGTTGGAGACAGCTGAATGACTCAAAGAAAAAGAGTCTAAATAAACATTTTAATTATATGCACTTTAGCAGCACCTTTTTATTTCTACTAAAAATTTGTAGTTAAGAGTATAACATTTAGATGATGTTCCTTTGTCAGAGATATCTTCAGTTTCTTTGCTCCTTCTCTTCTGGAGTGAAACCTCAATCCCTGTTTAGTGGTGAAAACTGCCAGATTCTAAATGCAAGGTTTATCTTTATAAATCTCACATGTGCATGCAAATGATACCTGCTGGTACAAACCAGCAGTTCCTTGACTAGTCCTTCCCTACCTCCATTGTGCTGGCTTCTCTTTTGCCTGCAAAGTAGAAGTACCTCAGCAGAGTGAATGCCATGAGAGAATTGCTTTGAAAATACAAGTCCTGAGTGGATGGATGACTGTGGCCTGATACAGCTGCATGAGGGCAAATCCAAGATCAGCCTTACATTTTCTGTATAGGCAAACTCCTACACCTTGGTGAGAAACTTGACTATTCAAGAAGTACAACATTGTTAATACTCTTAATTCTAACAATCAAAAGCATTGTTAATAAAAATAGGAAGTTATTTAGAGGTTTATCCTACTTCCCTCTCTCCCCTCAAAGCATATGTGAGAGCACAAGTCAGCTTGCTAGTGTTGGACATAGCAGTCAGTACATAGCAGTGCAGGTGAAGTGCAGGTGATTCATTGGGTGAAGAAAAGTGCTTTTCTGGAAACAAAGCATGAGGTACTGTAACGTGCTTTCTTTTCAGTTTACAGATTTTGGTGGTTTTCTACCTTATTGAGAGAACCCAGAAATAACACTTCTTGTTGAATCTTGTGGTGCTTACCTATTTAATTGTTGTAGAAGTTAATCTTTAATTCTGCTTTGGTAGTTGGAAACTTTTGCATGTTGAGAAGGTGGTGATTCTTTTTCTTAACCATGCTTTTCTGCTGTACTTTAGGAATCTTTACAGAACAGTCATGAATATCCCCATTTAAGTGGTAGGTCTTGCATTATGTCTAGCATGCAAATCCAGGTTTTAAGGACTCCATTTTCTGCAATATAACTCTTTGCTAGAAGGGAAAAATCAGTTAGATGGCTCCTCATCCCACTGAGAATATGGAAGCAGTTTTCTTGTGTATTGGGACTCAGGTTGCTTACACTCCAGATGTAATATTTATACAACTGGACTGATGCTGCCTGGTAGCTGAAGTAATGCTGTGGGTCACATCACTCTTTCCTTTGCTGATGTGGTGACTTGCATGCCAGTGGCCAGTACTAACAGGAAACCACAGCT